TGTTAGTCTCAAAGGTGCCACAGGACCCTCTGTTGCTTTTTACAGATTCAGACTGACACGGCTACCCCTCTGATACTATTATTATTTATATTCCTACGTTGCTGCCCTGGTGGAGTTTGCACCTTGCTCTGGCACACACATTCCTTCCCAGAGCTCCAGGAGAAGCTAATGCTGTTTGCATCCATCCCGAGGGCCCGATCCTGTCCTCAGTGCCTTTTCCAGGGCTTCCCCCGAAGAGCGAGGAGCAGCTGGGTCGTGGGAGTGAATTAGTGTTTGGACTGTGGGAAGGTGCTCGCTCCCCGGGAGATGAGTAAGGGCTGCCACACCTGCATGCAGGGCTCTGGCATGGTTACCACGAGCCCACGGTCAGGGACAGTGCCCCACTCGGAAAGTCACAGCTTGGACCTTGCCTCCCCCTTGCTCCTGGGAGATGTTTCCTGGGCCAGCCCCTCCCCTAGGACAGGTGCTGGCTCCTCCAGCACAGCTGAGCCTGGGTTGGGGATGGAGTCCCCACTCCTCTCCCACATGTGAGGCCCGTATTGGCTGCGCTCTCTGGCACGCCGTGATGCAGGCGGAGGTGATCCATCTCTTTCACCTCCATAGCCCCCTGCGTGGGCGCAGGCGGAGATTTAATGACCGCCGAGGTGATCAGCTTGGGCTGTAGAGAAGGGGAAGGATCCAAAGAAACACTTGACGTGTGCAGAGGGTCGCGGCCATACAGGCACCACCAGGATGGAAGCAGTGTCCTGTTGTAACCCACACTCATCCTGGGTGTGGGGTACACTGGCGATGGGTACACTCTGCATGGCCATCTGCAGCCAAGAGACTACTGCTGTCCTTTGGGCTACTGTCAGGAGCTGGGCCGAGCATGCTGGGTACAGAGGCAGCAGCGGCAGCCATCTTTACTAGAGGCATGCCCCTCCACTAGTGAGATAGCGGCCATCTTTGCTGAGGGCAGGAGCAGCTTCGAGCCCATGGGGCAGCTCCTGGCCCATTGTCACTTGTGGGAAACGGCAACCATTGGGAGGTAGGGTTTAATGGCAAAGAGAGAAATTAACAGCATTAATGGCCTTGCTTAACTGCAACTAGTGTCCTCCAAGGTGCATTTGTCACTCGTCTGCAGCGAGTAACTGTATGAAAGTGGGCAGGACACAGATGGGCCGTTTATTAGCAAAAGTGGTGGGAGAAGGTGAGACGCTGCAGATATTTATCTTCTTAGAGTTTATTGAAAATCTCTCCCCACTAATTCCATCTGTGTACACAGATTCTGTGCTGCACACGTGGGGAGGTACGCTAGGTTCTGCTGCCTCCAGAACAAAGTGGTTAAAGAACAATAGTTGTAACAGATGTGCCCAGTGGCCGACCGAGAATGGGGCTCAGTTTGCACAGGGCTGGCCAAACTGTCCCAGTGTTACGTGAAAACACAAACCCAGCCTTAATGTAGAAACATAAATGTGACGGTTCTCAGGGTATCCAGGACTGTGGGTCACCTGGTTACTCCTCTGCCTTCAGCACGAGGAAAAATTACTTGAGCTTAACTGGGTGTCAACTCCCTGACACTCCAGTCTGTTGGCTCCCAAACCATCTCCCCAGGGCCGTGCCAGCCCATACTTTGCCTTGCCAGTTAACAAGAGGTGCACCCCGTCCTCTGAGCCCCTTGGAAGTGTCCCCTGTAGTGTTCAGCCCCTTGTCTGCTGAGCGCTCACAGAATAGCAGGTTTACTGCCTCCTAGGAACAGGGCAGGAAAGCGTGAATGATTCAGCGCCCTGTAGAACACCCAGCACTGGGGTATCGTTCTAGTGAAACCAACATGCTTATTAGCAACGATGAGAGCGTAAAGCATTAGTGAGCAAAGGTACTGGAAACCGAATCCGAACGCAACGTCTAAAGCCTAAACTTACCAGGCTCCGTTCTGGCTACGGCCATTTCTCCTACCCAAATGGCCATTGTGGCATTTCCTGCCAGGGCAGGCCGGCATTCTGTTCTCATGAATGGAATAGGCCTGTCCAGTTCCTGCCTGGGAGTGTCTCTTTGCCTTCTGCTTGTATCCCCAAAGGTCATTGGTTTTCCTCAGAGAGAGTAAACTCCTCCCGTTGCTTGTTCCCTGGAGTGCTCTTCCCTGCTGATGTCCCATTCCTCTGTCCCCTTCATCTGTAACTGGGGCTTCCACTGCGCGAGCTCACAATGCTGAATTAGACAGAGATGTGCCTCTGACCTCCTGTCTGGAAAACACCTGCCTTCCTCTTTGGCTGGTGACAGATGTTAAAGCAGAGTGTCAGTGCCCACACCTCCTTCCTGCCACTGCACCTGTGCAACCACTGCACACCGAGATTAATGCCCACTCTGACCTAGGATCTCCCAGGACATCACTCATGGAGAAGTACCAGGAAAGCAGTGCGCTGGGGCAGTGAGTTTGCCAGGCCTGCCAGGAGCTGCTATTACACCACAGTGAACACTTTGCCAGTTGACTCCCATGGGCCTCTCTGTCCCAGCACAGGACTGCTGGGTTTATGCGGTGCCTGGGCCATGACTGGGGCTCTGATGCAGAATTACTAATACCTCTGTATAATAACACCACCACCTAGCTTCTGTGTCACGCTCAGAGTGCACTACAAAGGAAATCTCTACAATTATCCCTAGTGTCCAGAGGGGGAAACTGAGGTACGGAGTGGGGCAATGACTTGGCCAAGGTCACCCCACAGGCCAGTGGCAGAGTCAGGCCTAGAACCTAGGTCTCGTGTCCCAGTCCACTAAGCTATCCACTGGGCCACACTGCCTCCTGCTGAGAGGTTAATAAAGCTACTGGTTGATAAAGTCCCTTTTTGGCATGTCCCACCCCATCCCTGAGCAGTAGCACCGGGGAGGCTGCAGCAGCCAGACCTCCTGCCCAGGCAGCTGGTGTCCTCAAGCACTTGTAACAGCATCCTGGTTGCCTTGCAGGACAACAGCCCTGCTGCTGTCTGTCAGCCACCTCGTCCTGGTGACCAGGAGCGCCTGCCACCTAACCAGTGGCATGGACTGGATCGACCAATCACTGTCTGCCGCGGAGGAGCACATGACGGTGCTGCGCGAAGCTGCTCTGGCCACCGAGCCCGAGAGAAGCATCGCGGGGGGCGCGGAAAGCTTCCTGCAGGAGCAGTCTGCCATCTGACGGAGGCGGCACGGCCTGTCCTGCTGAGGGCTGATGCTCCACGTTCTCAGGGAGCCCAGGCCGCTGCTCGGTGCGCTGAGGTGGTCCAATATTTGCATGAGCCCTGCAGAGCTATTAGTATATTGACACTGACCTGTTACCAGAGGGTAGCTAAGGCAATGCGCTTCTGCCGGTCCCCTGCTGCTTTGTAGTTTGGTTGAAGTGCCCTGCGCATGGAACAGTGGGGCTCTGATCAATAAAATCCCATGAGAAATCAGACCGTGGAAGCTCCTGTTTCTAAATACACCCCAGGCTGAAGCTCAGTAAACTCCGGACCCGTCCTGTGGCTGCTGCGGGCACGCCGGAGAGCCTCAGCTGCTAGGAAGTTTCTGCAAAGCTGACTTAAGGGGTTTCCAGGGAAGATCCCCTGCCTGGCACCAGCGGGTTCCCCAGGAGTGGGGCTGGCACGATAGCCCTGCACCACCTCCTTCAGGCAGTCCCCAGCGTAAGGCCATCAGAGACAGGAGGAGGTGTGTTAACAGAGGGAGCAGGCATGCACTGGGCCCCTGCTAGTCTGGGGCAGTGGAGCAGCCCCTGGGAGGTACCCCAGCCAGACCCAGTGTCCTGGAGGAGCAATGGTGGCATAACGCTGCCCCACCCCCCACCCATGCCTCTCCCATGCTGCAGCGCCTGAGAGGCACAGACTGGCCTTCTGGGTAACATGGAGCTTCTTATCAGCCCAGGGCAGTGTTCCCTGGGGACCAAGATAAAGCACGTTGGGACAAGCTCACCCGCTGGCTTGTCTGGGAGCTTGGAGAGCATGGAGGAGGAGGGGCAGCAGGGTTCTGTAATTTAATGCAAGAAAATGCTTATTGAAATCATTGAGTCTTTGGAGACAAAACCAGACAGACGCCGAGAGAGACAAGACAGACCCAGCCAGACCCAGAGACATAGCTAGCCACAACACCCAGACATAGACAGACACAGAGACAAGAGACGCAAGCGAGCACTGGGCGCTGCCCTGCGCTGGTGAATTCCACTCAGCAGAGGGAAGCCGTGAGATGCACTGAGCCGCCCAGGGCTGGAAGCCACTAAGTGCAGAGACCCAGGCCCTGCCCACCTTATCAGCTCCCGCACAGCGAAGCGCAGCTCCTGCCACCTACCCAAGGCTACTACGCCCATGTTAAAAATGGGGGGTATGACCCCCCCAGGTGTGGGGAGCCGAAATGTTCTTTGTGCCCAGAGCCCCAATAAATCTTAATTCACCTCTGGCTAGGTGTGCTCCTCTAGATCAGTGGTTCTCAAACTTTTGTCCTGGTGATCCCTTTCACACAGCAAGTCCCTGAGGGTGACCCCCCTTATAAATTCAAAACACTTTTTTATATATTTAACACCATTATAAATGCTGGCTGCAAAGCGGGGTTTGGGGGGGAGGCTGACAGCTCGCACCCCCCATGTAATAACCTCACAACCCCTGAGGGATACTGACCCCCCACTTTGAGAACCCCTGCTCTAGACCAAGTGGTAGAGCCTCGTGCTGGAGTTCCAGGGCTCCGGCCCTATTGGGACTTGTGATTGCACGTGACACAAGCAAACACGCTGGAAATACAGCCTGCACACCGGGCGTACATGTCCGCAGCACTGCCCTCGGTCCATCACCGTGCCGTGAGCACCCAGCCCACACAGGGGAGGGGGGCATGAGGGGTCCATGTTTCAGCCACCTGCCTCTCATCGCGACACCTGTGGATTTGCCAGGTGCCACTCGCTGCAGTCCAGGAATCTTGCTGCCATGAAAGCAATGGCGGGTGCTCTGAAACTTCCCTCGGCAGAGTGTGCAGCTCCTTCCCGTACAAAGCACTCGTGACACGGGGAGAATGCAGCCACTTCTGGGGTGCAATGGAACAGGCAAGCAAACCCTCTGTCTATTGCACAGCCATGGTGGAAGGAAATGCTTTGAGCAAGGATCTCGCAGCAAACCCCCATGTGTCTGTTCACTGCTGTGTCCACTAGGAGGCAGCAGAAATACTCTGTCACCAGCACTGGCTCATTGCTCTATTCCCCTGCACCCTGGACGCTCCCACTTCTGATGCTAGAGATTGTGGGTTCAAGTGGAGAGGGGACTGGAAATTGCTGGCCACGCCTCTGGCTATGAACCTGGCCAGGCCTTCGGGGCTCCCGAGGGCAGTACAGGGCTCTCAGAGCCTTTACAGGAGGAATGGGAAGAGGAAGGATTGCAAACAGCTGCTGCCCACTGGGAAGGTGGCTGCAGCCCCCACTGCTATTGCTGTTCATATGGGAGCCCGCTGGGCGAGAGTGGGCCTCGTGGTGCTCGGCGCTGTATATACCCAGCAGCCCCTCTGTCACTGCTGTTCAGCGCTCCCCCAGCCTGGCCTCCTTGCTCGCTGTTGGGTTTGTCACAGAGACAGCAGGGGAAGGGCAGTACAGTGACATCCTGCCAGCTAGGCAGGGGTGCTCAGGGTCCTGCTGAGAGACACCCAAGGGAAGCCTGGGGGTGCCCGCGGCAGGGTGCTCAGAGTGCAGAGTGAACAGCGGCCCGGGGCGGGGGGAACTGTGCCACTGTGAAACACAGAATCAGGTACTTGCAGGGGAAGAGGAGAGGGATGGTGGTGTCATGCCAGCGCCTGCACCTGCTTTCCTGAAGCTGAGCTGCAGGGCACATGTCGTGGGGATCCCACAGTGTGAGGAGGCCCCCCCACCCCAGAGCTGTTGCAGGAGGGTTGATAGATTACAAGGGTGATGACAGTGAATATACTGATGAGGGAACGTTAATTGATCTGCTCAGGGAGAGCAGGGAAGAGTCCCCACCCCTACCCTCCCGGAGAGCACTGAGTTTGGGGAAGGTTTCAATCCAACCCCAAAGCAGGAAATGCAGGCCCGTTTAAAGCGCCACAACCAGGTATTTTCCAACCGGCCAGGTTTAACTGACAAGACTGTACACTCCATAGCAACCCCAGGGCCCCGCCCTGCTCTTAGCAGAGCGTACCCAGCTAAAGGGGAAATGCAGAAACAAATCCAGGAGCAGGTGGAAACCTGCTTGAAATGAAAGTAACTAGTAAATCAAACAGCCTCCGGGTGTCCCCGATTGTAATGGTACCTAAAAGGACAAAACCATGAGCTTTTGTGTGGATTACAGGAAGCTAAATGCTTTCCCAGCCTGACCCATACCCCACACCCCCAGTAGAGGACTCACTGGGTCTATTGGGGGGTTCAAAATTCATAAGCACACTGGCTTTGACTCGTGGGTACTGGCAAATTCCCTTAGATGCTGAGGCCCAGGAAAACTCCGCTTTTCTATTGGAATCTGGATGGTGTGAGTTTAAGGTTCTGCCTTTGGGTTAATATATTTGGGGGCTTGTCAGGGAGGTGCTGCAGTGGTTACACACATTTGCCAGAGCCCATACAGATGCCCGGGCTATTTTCAGTAGCTCCCGGCATGACCACTTGAACCGTATGGGAATTGGGCTACAAAGGCTGAGAGAAGCCAACCTCACTGGCAAGGTCTCCAAGTGCAAGCCGGGGGCTGCGGAGGTGTCCTGCCAAGGACACAGGGTGGGCAGTGCGTTGGGTTTATTCAGAGCCTGGTTTGGGCAGCCCTGCTGGCAGCAAACCCTTGTGCTTTGCACTAACGCTAGGCTAGGTGCGGTACTGCTGCAGGATGGGGCTGGGGTAAGAGGCGTCCCATTACTACGTAGCTAGGTAATGGGTAATTACCCGAATTAGGCTGTCATGGAGGCAGAGAGCTGGGCCACTCTCTGGGCTGTTACGCATCTTCAACCTTCTTTGTGTAATAAACAATTCACTGTGCTAAGCGGTCACGCCCCTTTGACATGGCTGCCCCAAGCCAAGGGAACCGAGTCGAGATTTCTTCGTTGGCATGTAGCCCTCCATGGATTTGACATGGAAGTAATTCATATCAAGGGAAAGGGGAATGCAGTGGCTGCTGCCTGATCGAGAATGGGGGAGAATGAGGTTTGTTCTGGAGCGTCCATGACACCCCTTCACACACCAGTTTAGCATTGGGGGCGTGATGCTGGCAGGCAGGTGCCAGCTCTTGCCCAGGCTGCAGGCATTAGCTAAGAACTGACACCCTCGTAGCTGGAGACCAGACCAGGTCACCTGTGTGCTAGTTTTGCTCAAAATAGGGATTAGTCCTACAAGAAGGTATTGAGTGGTTAGACTCTGAAATGTGTGTAGGTTGTTGCCTGCAGGGAACTCACTGGGAATGTGGCTTTCCAGGCGATGGGGAAATATCTACCTTTGTCTTTATCACTGTGAAAATGTTTGCCCTTAACTTGTGAGCCCAGGCACAGGGATCACCTCTCTGCCCCTCCAGGACTATCAACAGTCAGGGAACATCCTAATACAAAGGCTTGGCTAATGGCCCTGTTCTCCAAGGAAGCTTGTCCTATGGACCTGTAAGCTGAATGAAGGCACAGAGCCACAGGACAATTTCCCACCTCTTCCCCATTTGAACTCTGACAGGGCTAGAGACCTCAGGCTGAAGCCAGAGATCCCCAGGGGTGAGCTCCTGGGCCTGCCCTGAAACACACTGTGAATGGACAGATCACTACTCCTCTGCATTCGGCACGCATCGGTGGGTCTATGTTGGCTAGGTTTAACCTGCCAATAACTCTCCTATTTCTTTCTCCTAGTTATCAAACATTTAGCTAGGCCTTGTCTGCACTACCACGTATGTTGACAAAACCATGGGCGGAGGGTGAACCCCCCCTTTGGGGAGGCTAACCTGCCGGCCCCACCCCTTCCGCTCAAGACCCTGCCCCCGCATGCCGGAGCCCCGAAACTCCCCCCCCCATAACAGGAGGAGTCCTGAGCCCTCCCCCCACGACCAGAGGAGCTCTGGCTCACCCACCCCAGCCACCCTGGGCCAGCCCCCCCAGCCCCAGCACTGGGCTGAGCGCCACACCAGGCCGCTCCCCCTGCACCGGGCCGAACTGCTCCCCCCCATGGAGTGCCACGCTGGGCCGGCCCCAGCACCGCCAAGTCGAGCCGACCACCCCGGAGTGCCAAACCTCTCTGCCCTGCCCCTCACCTGAGCGAGCCGGAGCCCCCCAAGCCAGCAGCCCCAGTGCCCGTCCGAGCCGTCTCGCTCCCCACCAGACCCCCACCCCCGAGGAGAAGTGACGCAGCGAGCAGCAGGGACGGGGGGGAGAGGTGGAGTGAAGGTAGGCAGGTGGCAGCAGCAGCAGGCAGTGGGTGAGGGGGCCTCAGAGAAGGGGCAGGGCTACCGCTGCCCAG